TATACAAATATTTTTCAACTTGTTAAAATAACAAATATATAATAAGGACAATTTGGTCAAATATACATTCTAATAATCTTTTTATTCCTTTAACCAAACACGATAATCTTACATTCATGCTAAACCAACCAAACACAAAATACAACATTTTAAGTAATCCTATTCCTTGGTAATCTTACATTCCCACTGGTAATCTTACATTCCGTGAACCAAATGCACCCTCAGAGTAAATTGTACGAGTGAACACTAAACTATTGCGCTTTTTTATTATTGATGTTTCAATTTCATTAATCAACTATTTAAATGCTTCAATATAACCACTGATAACTTTTAACAAAAGATTGACATGATAATAAAATTTTTTGACATAATTACTTATTTTAACCTTAATTTTATACATTTGATCAATTTGGACATAATTTATTTTAATTAAAATAAGTTTAATCTCAAATTAAACGATAACACGTGTCACTACCTAATTTGAGGATATTTTTATTAATTTTTATTTATTTAATATATTTATTTTTCCTCCAATAACCACCTTATTAAGTGAGAACAAGAATCGGTGATTTGTGCACCAAGTGGGATTTGAACATAGGCAAAGGACTGGGGTGCGCACTCCTGAACCACTCAACCACCTTATTTAAATAAATATATTATATAAATAAAAATTTGAGATAACATCCTCTAACCAGGTCACGTGTCACCATTTAATTTGATATTAAATTTATTTTAATTAAAATAAATCATGTACAAATTAATAGAATGCATAAATATTAATAACCATATATGTAATTTAATCAAGTTTTTTTAACAACCATGTCACACTTTTGTAAAAGTTGATTATTAATGGTTTGATTGAAGCATTTAAATAACTGGATATTTTATTGATGAAATCGAAACATTGGTGGTTAAAATGAATGAGAACAATAGTTCAGTGGTCACCAATGTAATTTACTCTTTAATTAGTGGAATATTAGCATCTCATCCGGCGACACTGATTATGAGTGTGGAGGCAGTGGACCAGTAGTTCTTGTACATATTACGACGATATAATATTATATAACGTAAATTACATTCATGGTCATCTATTTATGGATTTAAATATATTAATTATGAGTATATTATTAAATTATGGTTGCAATGTAATATAACAATCGCATCGTAATATTTTTTCTAAGTAAATATCCAATTTAAATGGTCGTCATTTTTTAATAAAAAATAATAAGTTTCAAACATATGAATAGCCGAATTTTCATTTTATAACTTTTAATAATTGAATAACTCAACAAAACAACTTTAGAGAATTATTTTATAACTTTTGATAGTAAAAATATCTAACAAAAATAACGTCCTATAAGGATCATTTATATATTTTAACCAAAAAGGAAAACTAAATTTAAGTTACACCATCTTTCACTTCATATATATATATATATATATTATTAAAGGTAAATTATGGATCTAGATCGAAAAAGTTACTGCAGAGACATCAATTTTATATTGAAGAACTTGATCTACACCCCACCCATATAGCACAAAATATTACCTAATAACTGACCATGGCCCTTCCTCTAAAGCTTTCACCGAGCACACTTAATTCCTGAATTTTATAGCAATTAAATTTGCCCTCGTATCACAGATTTACTCAACTTCTCTGTACGACTATATCTTCTATGGTACATTCACAATCCCCTTACGATTAGGTTATTTGTCCTTTAAGTCTTCCCTACGAACATCAATCACGTATATTACAAGGCTTTTTTACGACCCTCTTTCAAAAATATAGCTAAAGCCTTTTTCAACAATGTGCCTCACGCCGATTACCATTTTCAAGAATGAAAATTAAGGAAATTTTAAGTGATTCACAATGTTTTTTAACGGTTGAAAAAAAATCAATACTTTAAATATTTTTTAAAATATTTAAAATAAATAAAAAATATGATTTAAACGCTTAACTTTTTTTAACTAAACCTTTAAATAACAAAGAGAGAATAGATTAAAAACTTTTAAGCCCCTAAAGTTTAATCTAAATACCAATATTGCCTAAACTTTCTAGATTCACAATCATGTCTTTTCTGATAAACTTTTTAGGTGTGAAGTCGGTGTCATGTTAGTGTTTCAAAAAATCAACGAGCCATGTGAAACCCACCACCATTCACTCACCAACATTAAAATCAAACTCTTGGGTTAACAATTCTCGACTTAACTCTATATAGAAAATCTACAATACAGGGACCAATGTGATTGTCTTGATGTGGGAGGCCCTACCCCCCATTTTACAAGTATTTATTAAAATTTTCTTTTGAAAATATATAAATTAAAATTTACACATATACAGATAATTTTATTCGAACTCAAGTAACTGAAATATTTAAGCAAGTGTATTATAAATATCTTTAATCCCAACGTTCTAGATTTGGATAGTTGTCGGTTAACGGGTTTAAAAATCGAACATTTGATTGTGTTGGAAGTTCTACATTACAACATCTTTAATATATAATTAAAAAAAATATTATCGGTTTTGTTATTATTTAAATAAAAAAATCGGTAAAAAATTACCTAAAACATCAATTTTTTTAATATTTTCGGTAAAATGCCTAACAATAACAAAACCGATAACGCTTTACTAAAACCGATAAAAGTCTAACAATAACAAAATCAATAGAAATAATAAAAATAGATTTTCAGTAAAAATAAAAATATTTAAAATATATAATAATTTTAAATTTTTTTAAAAAATACGATTACCTTCGTCCTTTCTTTCGATCCGCATGATTGCAGCCAAATGTGTGCATATTCGGTAGCTTAGAGTTGAAAACGCATGCCACCAACCTTTCATTTCATTTCAACGTTTCATTCATCTCGTATAGCGTCACCATTGCTACGTCATCATTCTTGAGACCCAGTGCGTTTCCCTGCAATCAATCTGCTACCCTACCCGCGTCATTAACTGACGCAACTCGTGATTTCACACGTCGTAATCTCATCTTACTTTTGTGCCCTTCCAGATGACGCAATATGAGTTTGGCGCCGGCGGGGCAGGTCGGTCTTTTACGAGGATTGCTTAATTTTCTAATTCCAAACTTGTATAAATTTGAACGAACTCGTCAGCACCAAAGAAACACCAGAAAAACTTTTTTCCCCTCTAATTTTTTTCTTTTTTGACATGGCGACGAAGGAGAGAAATCGTGTTTCGAATGGTGAAGGTGATCGTGAGGAGCAAGAAGATGAGAAAATGGAGCAGTTTTTTGCTCTGTTAAGGAGTTTTCGAGAGGCGCGTAATAAGCGAAAACACGAGCTGAGACAAAGAGATGACGAGGAGGATATAAATAAGAAGAAGAAGAACAAGACAAGTAAGTTGGGTGACGATGAGCGATCGAGTTGGGTTCCGAGATTTGAATGGGAAGATTTCACTGCAGAATTCGAGTTTCGAAGGCCACTCGTCGTCGTCTTTCCAACTCCATACAACAAGAAAGAAGACAAGAAAAAACAAGAAGAATATGATGGTTTGGCACTTAATCTCACCCTTTCGTCTGATTCAGTTTAATTTTTATTGTTCAAAAAATGAGTTAATGGAGTTTGATCTTGTATTATGATGTTGATCTTGATTTATCAATGTTTCAATATGGAATCTCCCGGTTAAGCTAGGTGAATATATCAGTGGTAATTGAAATTGAGAGAAAATATTTCAGATCTGATCGAATTACTTCACCGGGAAGACCAAGGGCATTTGTTTTTGTTTGTTTCCAACAGAATATTTCCTTTTTCTGAATTTTTTCTTTTGTGGTATCGGTAAGACTGGGGCCCTCCCACCCTCGACGTGGGCAGATATTTTCATGCATATACTTCGTTTCATTGTAAATCATATTACACGGCTACATGCTGAAAGAAAGATGATAAATTTTGGGGGAATTCACTTTTGTATCTCAAGTTACAAATTAATTTTGGACCTCAAAAAACATATACAATTTTAACGAGTTAATATATATATATATATATATATATTTACTTAAATTTATAATATTATGATTTTAAAAAATAAAATTAAAATTTTGTAACTTAAAAATATTATATTATCATTGTTTTATCTTAAAAAAATTAAATTTTAAAAAATTAAATAATAATTCTATAGATCAAGATTTCGATCTTGTGAAGTAGTTTTAATGATTAAAATAAATCATTCTTCTTTAGTGAGCCAACTTTGAATAGTGTAGCTTTTACGGGTGCATGAGTTTAGATTTAGATATTTTTTTTTAAAAATCTAGATTTTTTAAGAAAAAACCAAGAGTTTTATTTGAACTTGGGTTACACCTTTGTTTATGGTTTAACATTAAAGCATCAATTTGAAGAAGGTACAAGCCAGCCTGACGTTAGAGAGAAAATTTCTGCAGTGTCAGTTTTATCTGCAACATTTGATAACAAAGACAAACATAATTTGAAATTTATTAATCATGTTATTTCATTTTCTATAAGTACGAATTCTTTTAATAAAAACAAAGACAAATTTGATTCAATTACAAGTATCAAGAGATAATTAAAAGAACAAAATTGGGTACGCGAGAGAGAAAGAGATAAGTGTTAACTGGAAGACCACTCTTCGTCTAAGGATGCCTAACCGCCGCACCGAGAATTCGCGGGGGAGGGGGGGGGGGGAGGACACTGCGAGGTGGGTAGTTTATCTGGGGCGGATGCCAAGTAGTTAATAACTAAACCCCTGGGAGAATCAATAGAAGTATGGGAAGAGTAAGAAGAAGGTTATAAACCAGCTAACCTTCCAGCCATCAAGTGCACTTGCAGCCATTGTTTATGCTCAGCTCCACCCGTCGCAGCAGCCAATGGTGATTTTGAGTTCAACCAAAGCAAAGTGATAAGTGTCTTCTAGCGGCTAGGCTTCATAGTTCGTCCAATTTTCCTTATGGGCTTCTTTGTATTAATCAATGTCCCCAGCCCGTATATAAATAAGGCTCTCAAGTCTTCAGCTTCAAGCGTCAATTGCCTTCGATTCCGAGAGAGAAAGAGAGAGGAGTAGATCTTCGCTTCTCTCCGTCGTTCGTCGTCGTTTGGTAACCGCTCGCATTTCTCTCAGGCAACTTTCTCTTCCTTCTTAAAAATCCAAAACGGATTTTCAATTCTCACTTGAATTTTCTCTAATTTAGCTTATGTCTCTCCAGATCTGCCTTTTTAAAATGACTTCACTTTTGTTTCAACATTGTGTTAATCTCTTGAATTTTCAATATTTTCGTAGTTTCAACTTGTAAGAGTCTCGGAAAAGCTTCTTATATTCGTCAAATTACCCCGATCTGCATTTTTCGGATCAAAAATATTTCGCAACATATGGATCAATTCAACTCTCTTTACTTTCCGATCGTTGCTCGAACGATCTTATGTTTGTTTTGATATCGAAATATCGGAACGTTGGCTTCTGACTTTGATTTTTAAACTCCATCTGCAATTATGGAAATTTATAAGTGGATTTTGGTGTTTGGCAGACAGTGAAAAATGGGGTTGTCTTTCTCAAAGCTATTCAGCCGGCTTTTTGCCAAGAAGGAGATGCGTATTCTGATGGTTGGTCTTGATGCTGCTGTTAAAACCACCATTCTTTACAAGCTTAAATTGGGAGAGATTGTCACTACCATTCCTACCATTCGGTAAGTAGCCTTTTTTTTCACTATTTCTTATTCAAAATAACTTTTGTTTCAGATTTTGATATATTATAAAATTTTGTAGGATTCAATGTTGAGACCGTGGAATACAAGAACATCAGCTTCACTATTTGGGATGTTGGTGGCCAGGACAAGGTACCCAAGTTTGGCTTTCATTTAAAGATGTTATTATTAACTGTAACGGTGGCATCAAAGGGAAGACCTAGGGTGTCTTATATGTTCTGTTTGTGACAATGATATGGACAGAATTTCATTGTCTCGTATATTCTATAAACAATTAAGCATCTTGATAACCTGAATTTGTAGTACCATTGAAGGGGAGAATATGGGGTAGGTGTTCGATAGGTATGCGCAAAGCTGGATGTTTAGTGCTCAAATTTGAATCTTATGTTTTGGGTATATCTTAGGCCTTGCTATCTATCAGAATAATGAGAAAGTGTGGTTAATTTGATATGATTTTCTATATAGATCCGACCATTGTGGAGACATTACTTCCAAAACACAGGACTTATTTTTGTGGTTGATAGCAATGATCGTGATCGTGTGGTTGAAGCTAGAGATGAGTTGCACAGGATGTTGAATGAGGTACTTTGAGCATAAAGTTTATTATGCCTCATGGTTCTAATAAAATCCAACATATTGTTTTATGTGCATTGACAGGATGAGTTGAGGGATGCTGTCCTGCTAGTATTCGCAAACAAGCAAGATCTTCCAAATGCTATGAATGCTGCTGAGATTACTGACAAGCTTGGGCTTCAATCTCTCCACCAGCGCCACTGGTAAGATGAACTAGGGATGGGCTTGGGTCGGGTTTTTGGTCCACCCAACCCGACCCGAGAACAAGGAGTCCGCCACCCGGGACCCGACCCGACTCAACCAAAACAAGTTTTCACCCGACCCGACATATAACTTAAAAATCCGACCCGACCCGAAATAATAATAAAAATTATTTTTATTTAATAAAAACAGTGACTTAATTGAAAAAATTATATATAGGGGGATATTATTGTAATTATTCATAAATATATAAGGTAAAATTATATATTTTTTCGAGTCGGGTCGGATATTTTTCACTCTAAACCCGACCCGAACCAGTTTTTTTTTTAAAAAGCCGACCCGGTCAGGTCGGGTCGGAACCCGTCGGATTTGGTCCCATGCCCATCCCTAAATGAACCAATCACTCTCGCTTTCTCTGATGGTCTATATTTGTGGATCTGGATGTAACCCATTGAATAGTTCCTTTTTTGCAGGTACATCCAGAGCACATGTGCCACTTCTGGTGAAGGATTGTACGAGGGACTGGACTGGCTCTCAAACAACATTGCAAACAAGGTAAGCTACTTGCATTTAAACCTGAAGTTGCAGAATATATCCATTTGGGTTTCTTCAGTTTCTCCTACCTTCTATTTGTTGGGTCAAGCTCCCATCTGCTACTATCCGATTCAAACTTAATCACCATTCATCACTATTCATGATCATGATCTAGCTAATCGATAGGCGAGTCCTATTTTAATGCTGATACTTATATACACAATTTGCAGGCATAGATGGCATAATTGAGTTGTCAGGCTCATTGATGATGTCCCCTCTACAGTCCTGTATGTTTTATCCCGTTCAAGTGTTTTGCTTTTCCCATGTTCTTTTGTTTCTTGCAAACGTTGCCATTTATTATATGTAGTTTAAGAATAATTGATGAATTCTGGGTTTTTCCTTGCTGGTATTATACCGATAGCTGAAAAAAATTCCCCAAGTTTGGGGAAATCCTTTCCTTGTTGGTAATTGAAGGTTAGCCAGTATTTTGAATGCCCCTTTTAGCTTGTTCAATAAACATAATAAATCTACTAACAACCGCTTGGTTTTGCGATGAGGCACGAGATCTCTTAAGTAAGGTTAGAGATTTGAATTATGATGTTTATGAATGGATCAAATTGCGTTTGAAGTGACGTTCTTACCTTGACAATACCTGATCCGATTAATCGATTAATAAATTTATTATAGGTGGTTATATATATATAAAACAGAACAAAACTGAAGATATTAAAAGTTTAAATATGTTAGGGATAAAGACATTTCGTGAGAGTGCAACAGAATTTATTGTGTTTGTTTTTTAAATAATAGTTTTTAATTATTTTATTAAGATTATATAAAAACATGAGAATATAATATTATGATAATATTTGTTATTCTTTAAAACAAAAATTTATTAATTATTGTTTAATTAAATTAGTATTCGATCAATTCATTATACCAACTCAATTATATACATTGTTTAATATATAAGATAAATGTTAATCTGTAGTTCTTTAATTATATTTTAAATAAATTATTTTTACTGCATAATAAAATATTTAAATTAGTATGTTTGTTTTATATCCAAAAAATATAAATATTTATATTTATAAAATGAGAATCACAAAATAAATAACTTTCAAAAATAGGTTTTACTTTTACGAAACCTAACGGTTTTATAACATAAAATAATATTTATGGAATTTACTATTAAAATTTTGATATTTAATATTTTTGATATATCAAACAACACCTGAATGATAAATATATCTTTTTATATATATATTTTTCCACTCTTTCTAAAAGAAAATAATTCTGTAAGGCACATATTTTGGAGAATCAAAGGCAATCAAAAAATTAAATCACTTAGTAATTAATTTCAAGCATCAAATAGTTCGTAAGTTAATTAAAACCCGACACCCACCATTAAAAACCGAACTCCACTCATCGACCCTCATATGCCATACCCAAAAGCCCAATGCCTTATCACCCTCCTCCTCAGCCATTATCCTATAAGGCCCCAAAATCGATAATCATTACCACGACATTCTTTTTTTTTTTGATAATTCAATTTCATTACCCAATAAGCCAAAAATCCTGCTACACTAAACAAAGACAATAAATAGCACAATAGCAAAGCAAGGAAAACTACATGGAAATCACAAAGAAAGACAAGTCAACTAAACTAGAACAGCAAGATAGGCTCTATTCAGGCAATGCCCCAATTAGCACACAGAGCATTGTTGACCAAATCTAACCGGTTGAAAACTTTGCCCAGCAGCCGAATGCGTATAGTCTCTTTGATATCACCTAGCAACTCATCATTCGATCTTACCCTATTTTCGAATAATCTGCCATTCTTTTCATTCCATATACCATAAATGTGCCCAGACCAAGCAAGCTTAAGAACTACCACAATGAGGGACTTACCCTTGAATAATAAGGTAGCCCAAGCCAATTCACTCTCCCAGCTACAACCTTCTCGAGAGATGCAACAAAGATTAAGAATGGATCCCCAAAGATCCCTTGCAAATTGGCATTCGAAGAATAAATGATCCCTGTTCTCAGCCTCTTCACCACACAGCAAGCATTTATCCGTTTCAATGGCAAGGCCCATGCGCAGAAGTCTTACCCGAGTAGGAAGTCTGTTTAATAAGGCCATCCAGACGATGATACTATGCTTGGAAATACGACCCGAGAACCAGACCATGTGGTGCCAAGGAACCTTAGGAGCTGGGGGGCGCAGCTTGTCCCAGATATAACTCGTACTAACCTCTTGGACTAGACCCACAAGGATGGGAGTAATTTCAGGCCTGATTTTCAGCAAGTATTTAAAGCTCCAACTGGCATTCTTAGGGGCTTCCATATGCCAGAAGTCGGCATTTATAGCTACAATCGAAAGTTAAAACCCAAATCTACCTACATCACCTTTAACTATCTCGTCTACCTTAATTGACCCTTAAATCGAAATCACCCTATCCCACTTATTAATATCATTAAACCCTAGATCAATCTAAACTACACCCTTACTCATTACCAAATTAAACTCATCTCCCCTATTTAATTTTATTAACCCTTAAATTGAATCCATAAATACCCCTTTTACTACTCCAGTTAAATCTTTTTTTTTTCTTGAACCAACTTAAACAACACCCTTGACCATTACAGACTCATAAAACTAAATCAAACCAACAAACCACGTTGGAGAAAAATGCAAAAAAAAAAAAAAGAAGAGGAAAATTTTCCAACTAAATTTCTAATTGTTTGGAAAGTTTGATCCAATTAAGGACCAAGTCCATTGCCAGCTAAATTGCTGCTTTTTGTCTCAGTCCACCGGCCTATAATGGAATGTCCCAAAACCCTAAAGAAGGGCCCTGCTCTTGCTCTTACTTCTGGGCTTGGGTTTATTTGTTTGAGATTGAAACTGAGCTGTCTCTGTCCTGTAGTGAATGCTGCAAGCAAGCACATCACTGTTCTTTTCTCAATGTTAATGGTCAAATATCAGCTGAGTAATGGCATCACTTGCTGCCCTTTTTTTAATATAAGAAAAGATATGTAATTATAATGATCAATACATGACTGTTTCTCCTTTTGCCCTTGACCATAATCTTTATCTTCCCTTTTCGCAAGTTGATACAAGATTACTTAGTGACATTCTCCCTTACATTTGATCAAGGGAACCCTATTATTTAATTCAATTCTTATGTCAAAAGGAGATGCCATTTATATTATTATAATAACTTGGTTTTCAATTTTATATATTTATAGTTGTTGATGGCCGGTAAATACCTTACATGTAGAAGAGAACCACACTAATTACAACCAAAATCTCATCAATTTTTCAACGCAATTTGTGGTTATTTGTCAAAAACAATATATTTTATTTTCTGTTTTATTAAATGGATTCTGACATGTGTGGAGCTTGATAATTTAAGGGGAATTTGATTAACTTGGAGGTGATTACTCCATATTCAAAACTTAGGCAGCTTCTGCTTTTTCCTTCTGTCAGCGCACCATTTGCAGAAAAAATCTATGAAATTTGCTTCAGTTTTCCTCCATTTCAGCTTTCAATTCATTAATGAAAGACAGTTTACACATGTCACAATCCTCCACCAGCTGCCAAATTGACTTCCTTTTGCTCTATGAAGACTAAAATTCTTCCTACTAGCCTACTTCACCTAACTCGGTACAGATTACACAAGCATACAAAGTTTCCTTTGCAAAGCCATTTGTCTTGTAAATGGGATACAAAATCTTGAAATTAGATTCAAAGAGGCCGATCATTTGACACTTTGAATTTGGTTGGTTAAGTGGAAAGAATATTGAAATGATTAAAATTTTTCATCCCTTCTTTATGTAAAATATTACGTCCGTGCTTACTATAATAATAGATTGTGGTTTAAGAGAAGAGGTTTTAAGGAAAGTGGTCTCTTCACATGCTGCAAAACCATATCAGAACAGCGAAATGAAAATATTAGGCACGTAAACAATAAACAAACACAAGTCGTTCGATAAGAAAACCTTTTCTTTACCCTTTCCTAGTTGCCATTTGCCTGTCTCTTTGATCTTCACGGTTCACCATTCACCAGTGACGGAGCTCCCAAACTTAGGGGTATAATTTTTGTTTAATAATATTTTGGTTAATATAAAAATAAATATTTAAATTTAAAAAATATAAATATTTATTAAATATTTAATCAAGTAAGGGTCGAACTAAAGAATGATAAGTATGTGTTCTCAAATTTTTAGTCTAATTATAATTTAAGTCATTGTAAGTTTAAATATTAGACAAATTAGAAGTTGTCTTTTGAGTTTTGAGTTTTTTTTTTAATTTAGGGTGAATACAAGGTAATATTTGTACAAAGATTTTCAACTATTTGACAATAAACGCTCATACCCTTACATACGTGCTTGAACTCGGGACCTGAAGGATAACAACAATCCCTTAATCACTGAGATCGATTGTTTCTTGAATTTCAAATTTAAATAACTAATAAATATTTATATATTTTTTTAAATAATCAATATTTAATTATGGCTCGATCATTACTATTCACGTTCAAATATTTTGTCCAATTCTGCGCGTGAAAGAAATATGAAAAAGTCAGACAGTCAAATACCAAAAAATAAAAAGAACCACAAATGGGTCAAAAAAATAGTAAAATTTGCTGCTATTAACTTAATCAGTTTGGATTACTATGGTCGTCGTGTTGAGTTCTACTTCTTTCAAACATTTCCTTCTTTTTCTCCTTCATTATCACAAAATTAATTATTGTTTAGTTTTAAAGTTAGTCTTAATCCCACCTTTGCAACCCTCTATATAAGCTCATCTTGTGTACCATCTTCAACACTCATTTAAATCTCAAATCATCTCTCTCTCTCTCTCTCTTAGAGCTTCAACTTTGGCTCTCTTGGAGTTGAAAATGGATGTTTACAAGAGAAGTTTCAGATACGATACTTCAAAAAGGGAAGAAGAGATGGATGTAAGGAAAGGTCCATGGACTGAAGAAGAGGACTCCGTGCTTAAGGCGTATGTCAATATCCACGGCGAAGGTCGCTGGAACTCTGTTGCTCGCTATTCAGGTTAATATATAGTTTTATAGAAACCCAGAATTTTTAGCTTTTTCATTCGTAGTTCGGCACATTGTGATGTGAAATGGGTTTACAGGATTGAGAAGATCGGGGAAAAGCTGCAGATTGAGATGGTTGAACTATATGCGACCAGAAATCAAACGAGGGAACATCAGCCTCGAAGAGCAGCTTCTGATTCTTGAACTCCATTCTCGTTGGGGCAACAGGTTTTTTATCTTCCTGAAATTCAATAAACAGATGGAATTATGAATGATTTTAGCTAATTTTGATCTGTGGAAATAACTTTGAAGGTGGTCGAAAATTGCACAACACTTGCCCGGAAGGACAGACAATGAAATAAAGAACTATTGGAGAACAAGAGTCCAGAAGCAGGCCAGGCAGCTTAAATGCGACGTTAACAGCAAACAATTCAAGGACGCCATGCGTTACGTTTGGATCCCCCGTTTGATCGAACGGATCCGTGCTTCATCACAGTCAACGTCAGGTCCACCTTCCACCATCACCAGCATAACAATCGAGTCTGGTTCGGTCCAAGTTGACCCAAGTCTCCTGCCCGAATTATCCCGCACTTCATCGGGCTCCCAAGTCTCTTCCGTCACGGGCCTGACAGATTGTTACAATCCACAAAGCGTTTCCAACTACCAGAATAACACACGAAACGGGTCGGGTTTTGAAAACGCCGCAGCGGAAACATGGGGCAGAGATGATGTCTGGTTGGTTGGAGGTGGTGAGTCTTCGATGGAGACGGTGTGGAATGAAGAGAATATTTGGTTTTTACAGCAGCAGCTTCATGACGAGTTCTAATGACAGGAATTCGCTTACGTGACGCATCAGATTTTATTATATTATCAAAACATCGTGGCCATACTGTTATCTGACGATGGAGATTATGAAAAAGAAACAAAACAAGGCTAACACCACTAAAGACGGTTGCTTTGAGAATGTAAATGATTCACGCTACTCAAATCAGGGTTTATAGGGATAGGGATAGGGATAGGGATATGTAGTCATTATAGGGTTTTGAGCAAAAAAATATCATCTGCTCCGTTCTCTTGTTTTTCCCGTTCCAACATTCCTAGTTTAATTCTAGTTCAACTTTAAATTTTACTACCGTTAAAAGAACACACAATTTCTTGATGAAAAATATCTCAAGATATGCATGTATGTGTGCGCTCGTTCTCTAATGTTATCGTATGCTAATGCATATGTATGGTTTACAATTTGGGTGAGAGCGTGGGATGGAGAACTCGCCCAAGAAAAGGCTATAGATCTAAATGAATAGGTCGTTTCATAAACAGTTAACGAAAAATTGTGTAACGTCGTTTACGTTCCTTTATTAAGTTAAATAAACAATTATGAATAAAATTTATATCTATTTAATAAACAAACCTCCATAAATAAAAATATATTTGATTTATTTATGTTTACGAATAATCTCGTTTATAAATTTATTAACTCGTTTATTAACTTATTTATCTGATTTTTTTAATATTTTATTTCGTTTGTAAATACAGATTTATTCTTTTACATCTCCTAGGCAAAGTGGAAACAGAATCAGGGGAGACAAATAGTGTGGATCCTCTTGTTATTTTGCACATCATCTTCACGTTTATCCAAGCAAAAGAGTTACATCTCGTGACTGCTGCAACTTGGAGATTCTAGTAAACGCACCTTTGTCATGGAGGCATTGATTCAGTTAATTTAAAATTGGAAACAAAGAAGGGGGGCCTTACCTAAATATTCCCCTGCTGTGCTGCTTTCCCCACTCGGTAAAAATTAACTTCCTTTTTTATTTGATTTTCAATCTTAGCCGAAGGGTCCCGAGCACTAACCGCCGAAGCCCTTGAAATAATCTCCAGTTCCAACAATCTAACCACTCAACTGTTAACTCCCATTGGCCACAATTACTTCAATGATTCTAACATTCTTGTCGGTTTTGTTAATTTTTTTCAACAAACATATGGGGTGCATGTTGCATATCCTAGTTTTAATTCACATTTTCCACGATATAATTCATTGAAGATGTTAATTTAAATAAATAAATTATTAACGTCATTAATAATAACTTTTAAATTTTAGAGGTTATAGATAATTTGTTGTTTTTTAATTTAAGGAGAGAGTTGTAACATGTGATATAAGAAAGAACTATAGACTATTAATATTGTTTGATTCAGAAAATCTCAAAAATATTCGAGAGAACTCGAGAGGGAAATGAGGAGTTTTATAGTAACTCTTAATATCAATGTCAAGTCTAGAATCATCATCATCATTTTTAGGTTGGTAGGTTAAATTGATATGGTCATCTAACAATAGATTTGATTTTGACAATCACGTAAATCTATAAGAAGTCTTCAAAAGAAGATAATTAATCGAAAATTATAAAATCCCTAAATTCATAATTCGCAAACCTCAATAAAATAGAATGGAAAATATGGAAGATAATGGGTCCACGAAATTCTCGAATGCATAAAGAAAGTGTGTTAAGAGTGTACGGGGGGGCATGCATGTAACATATGTATTTTAAAAGCCAAATCATAGGATGATGTGTGATAATTAACAGTATTGAAATTTGAATGGAAACGCATCAGCCAATTGTTTTTAGCATGTTGCTAATTCCTTCCAAGTAAACGTTTTAGTGGGGGTTTAAAAATTGGAATGAGGGCTGAAAATTGGTCTTTCTCCTTCTATAAAAAATGCTGTCACCCCTTACGTTAGCAAGATGGCCGCTCCTTCATTTTCTACACTAACTTCACCCAATTTTATTTTTTATATTTTTCTATTATTAATTTTCTGAGTATCAATAGAAACGGGTGTAAAATTTTATGTTAATGGATAATATTTTAAAATTTTAAGAGAAAATAAATTTATAAAATTGTAAAAACGAAATAAATTATCAGTAGAAATTATCTAAAATATATAGTAATTTAAAAATATTAGGGCGGTGACAAATCCAACTCCCTCCCTCTTTGGTTCATCTCTAACACCAAATTTCTTTATGTTCGAGTTCAAATCCAGGCCCATACTCTAAAAAACAAAGTGAGTCCATATTCAATACCCATCTGCTTAACCCAAGTCTAATTATGAGCAAGAACTCAAGTAAAAAATGCATCGATCTATATCTTCAAACCATGCTAAAGTTTCTACAAAATTCGAAACGGGTCCAAACATGGATCCATCTCATGTTTTGAGTTTAAATTTGAATGTAATTTGATTGTTTTAATTTATTTAATTAATAGTAACTAATAACGGTACACACTAATAAATCTGAGAGTATAATTTTTTAAATCAATTTTTAATATTTTGTCTTCATGTTTTAATTTAATATATTCCTTATACAAGTACAATACCAACAACCTTGTTTCATGAGCTTGGATCATGCCAGACTGCTAATTATTGAATCGATTTTTCCTTTACTCTTTTCTAATCTTCACCAAAAATAAATCAACATGCTTCAGTTCATTTCCCCCCGTACAAGAGCCAATGCCTTGTTATATAGCATACAAGTAAATATCGAACTAGGATTTTATGTTAAGAGAAAAATTTATGAAATTTTAGGGATGGTGAACTCACTACAGCAAAATAGAGATTTAGCGGCGTTTTTTTAGTTATATAGCGGCGTTTTTAAGTACCGCTAAAATCACTTGCAGTGATAAAAAAATGCCGCAAAAAGCGGCGGTCATACCAACGTCGCTAATGTTAGCGGTGTTTGTGAAATAAAAACGCCGCAAAAAGTCAAGTTCTATAGCGGCGTTTTTGAAACAAACATCGCAAAAGGTTGAGATCTATAGTGGTGTTTTTATTTCACAAACGCCGCAAAATATCAAATCTATAGCGGCGATTTTGGATACAAACGCCGCAAAATGTCAGATCTATAGCGGGATTTTTTTGATACAAACGCCGCAAAAAGTCAAATCTATAACGGCGTTTTTCAATACAAACGCCGCTAATTACCATTCTTTAGCTAAGATTAATTGATATTTTGCATATTTCATTTCTTCTCTACATATTATCAATATAAATTTATGAAATTTTAGGGATGGTGAAGCACTTATAAAATTTTAGGATAGAAAATATAAAACAAATACCCAAGTTATATGATAATTTAAAATTTTCAAACGATCGTCCCTACGAACGATCAATCCCTCTCTATCCATCACTGCATACAAGAACATGCACTTATTCTTTATTGATAGTAATGCAGGAGGGGAAAAAGAAGAAAAAAAGGGAAGAAATAAAACAGCATACGGTTTTTGAATTCAAGGCCAAATGCAACGATGATGAGCTATTTTCCAAGTACGGGCATCATCGTCTTGTTCTAGCTCCTTGCACCAAATGATGTCATGGAACCCTCTATTTCTCACGTAATGATCAGTGTCATTATCAGTTTCCTTGTCGTCCTGGTTCGACAAAAGATCACGATTCTGGCATCTCATCACAAGCGCTTTCACTAACAAAATTAAAGACGCCATGCTTTTTTTCTGAACCGCGTCATGAATATATTGTCAACCAACGTAGTCTCTAATTGGCTGCTCAGCCTATTATCCCCTAATATAAAAATCCTTATCTACGGTTATGAATTTGGCCAACCAACGATATTGATGCAAGTAAATCCAAATATTATTGCCGAAGGGAAAAGAGTGTGAATCAAATTATAATTTGGTTGGCGGGGAAGAAATGGGTTTGGTGAACTAATTACTTACGATTGAAATTGTTTAAAAATTATATATATAGCTACTTGGACGTTAATCATATTCATGCAATCGGTACCTGTAAGTAGTTTTGATCACGTCGTTTACATTAGTCAATGATCGTTGAACGACTTCACATAGTGTTACTATTATCGTATAATAAATTAAAATGGAGGTAAATTATATATTAAGTAGTCACATCTCTAGGTTGTGTGTGTTGTCAATGACTAAGAAATTCTAAATAAATTCTACCTTGTAATTAAGTTATTAATGTCTCGTTTTAATATTAATTAAGTCGGTTTAAATATGTATAATACGTAGTTGCAGGACTCGACTAAAACTTGAAACCAAATCACTAATCACTAAAAATTTCAAGTTGTTTGAGTTCTATTTTATAACTCGACTCGGATTTGAAATTTTTTCGAGTCAAGTTTAAAAAATTTACGAGTTTGGTCAAGTCGAAAAGGTCAATTTTTCAAGTCGAGTTTTGCTCACACATGATTTCTTGAGTAGTTGTGATGTGTGGCAACCTAATTTAAGGCTAATTTTAGATGATTTCACTTTAAAAGGTTATCCCTAATTTTGTTGGTCATTTCCTCTCTTTTATCGCTCTCCTAATGTGTACAGAATGTAGATCATGACTTGGCTTGTTTATTTATGAAATTGTTGAGTATGCTTGTTTTTTTTCTAGGACTTCACTCTGGTAAGCTTGTCAAGGAATGTGATGAGGAAAGAGTAGGTGTAGAATCTCTTGCTATGGATGCAAGAAGTGGAAGCCTATTGGAAGACGATGGGAGTTGAATGTAATGAGGAAAGAGTAGGTGTAGAATCTCTTGCTATGGATGCAAGAAGTGGAAGCCTATTGGAAGACGATGGGAGTTTAGCTTTTGTAAAGAAATCTAGTCTCCGGCAAACAATTGAATCTATGGATGTCTTCCAAACTGTGCCCCAAAACCTTTGGCTGAAAACAGAGAGGGATGGGCAATTGGTATCATGGTAACTGATTAGTGTTCAGAATCTTCAATATTTGCTCGTTATTTCTTTGGTTTTGTGGAATTATTGCTGTTAAATTGGTCGTGTTATGTTTGTTTTCGTGCAAGTCCTTACTTTCCAGAATTAGTGACAAAACAGGCGCATTCTGTATTTTTTTTATTATTTGGTCACGGCTGGAGACATAGTCACGACTCTGGGCATGACGCGGTCTGACGTGGCAGTTTCTAGAAGGTCCAGCCAGCGACGGTTTCTAGAATACTTCCTCCGCACGCCTTCTGGAAGATTGACGAACAGAGTTGCATTAGGAGACTAGTTTAAGTTTGAATTTAAATTAAAAAAACAATTATCTTTAGGATTATTTTATTTATTTTCTTTATTTATCGTTTTAGCTTTGAGAGGCTATAAATACCTACTTTGGGTAAGCCTAAACTAATCATTCGAATTACAATCTTCTTTTCTCTCTAATTTTTTATAAAAGCTTTCTCTTTTTACTTTCCAAGTTCTTTTCATTTTTTTTTTTATTTTTCAAGCTTTGTTTTCAAATCATACTTAGCTAAACTTTTCATAAGCCGAGAGCTGTCGCGATGACTCAATTCCATCGGGAGAATTGAAACGGACCCTTAATATCTTCGGAATATCTCTCTCAATCTCTGCGCTTATTTTTCAAAATCAAAACAGTTTTCAAAATCAAAGATCGACTTTGGTCAAGAGGTTGTTGCGATTAAATGTGTGGGAGGAAGATTCGGCTTATAAAAAGCAATTCGACTTCCTGTGAACACACTTGGCGAGATAGATTCGTCAAGAGGGAATTGATATCGAAATTGGCGGTTATTGAAGCAACAATCCGAGTCGGACGCCACGAACTTAAACAATAATTAATTTACGACAATTGATGTTAGAATAAATTACCGAAGCCGGACTCAAAGATTAACTTGGGTATTTGGTATACAAGATAGAGTCACGGGGATAGCCCTTGTAGACAAAGTAACCGACGTGAATCTCGAAGAGAAAATCTTATTCAATGATCTAAAAGAAATTGAGCCAAAGCGAAACTTGAGGCTATTTTTACCGTATTTATTCACAAACTTTATTCTCTTATTTTTTATTTAAATTGTTTTTATTTATTTTTACCATTTTAATTTTATTTTACCAAACTCCCCATTTTACTATTTTTTTTGTCTGGTTAAAACCATTCAAACATTAATTTGTGATTTTCTAAGTACATGTGAATTCGACCCTTACTTCAATTTACTACAAATTTCCTTATTTATTAACCGAGAAGAAGGAATTTATTTTGACATAAAAAACGACAGTTATCAGTAACCTTCGCCAGTTTGTTCGAGAAGATATCAGCTTTGCGTTTTGATGATCCTAGAGATACATTTGATAGAATTTTTTATAGTGTTTGTTATTTGGAAAAGCACGGATTTGTTGTTACATTACTTCTTGAATAAATTACCGTCAATCAAGGACAGCATATAGGAGAGAGAAAATACTGAAAGGGAGATAATTGAGAATACGGAGGAGGTAACTAAATTGGATGAAGAGATGGAAAAGAAAATTACCGAGTTACAAGAACGGCATGTCGGAGACTAAGAAACTTAAAATTGCTGGTTTGAAGTTGCATGTTGGAGTTCTAAATGAAAATTAGCTGCTGCCCCTTTGGAAGTCGCCATGGTTCATAATGCCAAGACTCCTGGAGCACAGGTGATGATTATTGTAGTTAAATACACGGATTCGATAGTAGCCATCTAGAAATGGTACATCAGTCAAGATTATTTTGATCCTTGGATCTCAATGCACATAGCTTATGGTCTTTGGCGTCAGGTACGTTTAGAAGCCAAAAATGGACCTGCTTCCAAGGTTATATACTGAAATTTCTTAAAACCAACTTTTGTGGAGCCCTTTGTTTATGGGTGTTCTTTTATTCTTTAGCCATTCAATTAATTAATTGATTTTAAATTGAATTAACTGATAAAATACTTTAAAAAAACTGTAATCATTCATGAATTAAACAAATTTTGATGATTGACCTATTAATTAAACTAATTCAATTCGATTCAACTTTAACAGAATAATGAACGGCTGTAGTTAAAGATAAAAGAATTTAGAAAAACCAGAGGTTACACCCTTGTTTTGGGATCAGTGAAAAGAGGATGTTAGACTTGTAAGTGTCAGCTTCTCGAATCGAAGATGGTTCAGGAGATTTTACCACCATTGCTGAAGGAATATCACATGCTCCAGGCCACGGTTCTAGCCGATTTCGAATCAAATATGTGAAGGTATTTACAATGAATACATTATCATTGGCAAGGAGAAGATCAATTTGACACTTATTGGGGACGGGATGGAAAAACTATTATCTCAGGTAACAGGAGTCACGATGATGGCTTGAGGACGATCAAGACTGCAACTGTTGGTAATCTAAATCTTTGTAGTTTTAGATGGAAGATGATTTAAATAAAAGTTTGGGGCTATTTCTTATTATTCTTTCTTGAATCATGAATGTGTGCAGAGATAAATGGTGATGGATTTGTTGCTTCTGGTGACACTTTCCAGAATGTTGCTGGACCAGAAAAGAAACAGGCAGTGGCATTGTTAACTAAAGCCAATTACGTGGCATTTTACAAGTGTAGAATAATTGCACACTAGAGGATACTCTTTATGCTAAAAGAGGATATCAGGTTTTTAGGGAATGCGAGATTTATGGGACGGTGGATTTTATTTTTGGTGATGCAACAGCTGTGTTCCAACGTTGCAACATATTCGCTCGGAAGCCACTAGAGGGACAATCAAACACCGTGACGGCCGAAGGAAGAAACGTTTCGACCACACCAGGAGGCTTCGTGATCCAGAACTGCATGATTAGAGCAACTTCAGAATTGATTGCATCTGAGTATCCTGTAGAAACATACTTAGGTAGGCCTTGGAAAGATTTTTCTTGAACTATTGTGATGCAGAGTTACCTCTATAGGAGTATCGATCCTCGAGGATGGATGGAGTATGATAACAGAAGCTCGGGCTTACGCCGAATATGATAACAGAGGTCCAGGTTCAGCCACACATGATAGAGTGAAATGAAAAGGATTCAGGGTGATTGACTCCGTTACTGCTGGTCGATTTACAGTCCTGAAATTTATCAATGGGGACACGTGGATTCCACCAACTGGAGCTCCATATAATCCGAATCTCGATGATGACGCATGGATTCCAGTTACTGTAAGTCCATATGATGCAAATATCATAAACTGATCTGATTCTCTGGGACAGTGTTTTCCGACACCTAAAGTCCTTACACTGCTTTTTAGCATTTTGATAATAATAATAACAATTTAGCTTCATGCAGGCCTGTAATGTTCTGCAAGTATAACCATTTCGATTTGTTTACATCAAGATCAAGAAGACCCATTTTATATGACACGAATATACCACATTGGCAACTTCACCTATTTTTCCGAATCATCTGGCAACTTTCGAGTTTCTTCCCCTAGAAGTGAACCAGAAACCTGCTGTTCTACCAAGCTGTGACCATTAACATGCAGTAGCATTCAGAAAATCCATTTGTTTCATTTTATGGCTATCGTGCACAAAAGTGAGCATCACTTTAACTCATGTTGGGAATGATTTTTTTTTAATCCAAAATTGTAGAGTGAGAGTAATATGTACCTAGGAGATCATGGTCATGTTTTTCAATTATAGGAAAGTTTTTGTAAAATTGAACAGAAATCAAGCTTTCACTCGAGCCGACTGCCGGAGCAGGAGATCCCTGTATCATCACATTTGCGCCACGCCTATAACATATACCTGCAAGCAATTGTAGAAAGATGTCAAAACATTCTTTTACAGATGATTAAGTTACAATTGTTTTTGGAGGAATTGAAATTGTCCCATCATCCATGATAGATGTCATGGCACAATCACTGCAACAACCAAGAACTATGATGCCATTAGAAAGACATGGTTAGAACAGAGAAAGCTTCTCAACGAAGTTTAATCTAAAAATATATGTGATTGTACAAACTAAAGTTTCATTCAGCATTGCCAATCTTTTCTCAAAAGACTTGCAATGCAAGAAACTGACGAAGTTTCATATTTGACAAACTAACATGATTCACTTCTCTGATACAGACTTCTATCATACTTGTTGGATGTTCAGGAAAGCTTATAATAGGATGCAAAGATTATTCATGTTATGAAGAGAACAATTTTTTACTTGGGGTTATTTGCTAGAACTCAAAAGGCATAAATACCTTGAAAGAGTATGACAAGGCAAAAGATAACTGTTATGACCATAGCAGAAAGGCTACTATTTGATGATGCCATAGCCTTTGCAACCTTCATCTTCTTCATCGCTTTAATTCGTTTCATCCTGGCCCGTTTTCTCATGGAAAGTCAGCAATCTCCCTCACCAGCTTCTGGACTAAAGCATCCAACAATGGACCTTTAGGTAGCTTGAGAGGCTTCCTAGAGCTTGTCTTCTTACACTTATCCTCTGTAAAATTCGTATCCACCAGTGCCATTAGCTCACGATTCTCTTCTTCTGAACTCTTGTCCACCAAGAATTCCATATTCTCACCCTCAACCCAGCCAAACCTAAGGAACTACCACATGAGTTTATGCCATATTTACCCTTGCCTACTCTATCAAAACTCAAAAGATCACTCCAAACTTCACTGAGAGTTCTCTTTGTTTGTAAATTTGATGAACCATGGCTTTTAGTTCTTTCATCTTCACTGGTTGTTCCGCCACTTTCGATATCTCTTTCTTTCAAATATGAATTATCCATTAGAAGAGAACCTTTACTTCCTCTCAAACCTGTCTTCTAAACTACTGCTTTACAAGACTTCAGGCCTTGTCTAGTGTCTACAGGAATTAATCCCACTTAAATAAAAAACAAACCTATACGTCATAGTCATAGTCTATACACAGTTTGAAACTTTTTATCAAAGCACAACCTCAACTTTGAGCAAGCAATCAATCCTGAATCTGTTAATGAAAATCACATGTTAGTGGTAGAAAAAAATAGGAAAATAAACTGTCAATAGAAACGTTAACTGGGAGAACAAAAAGAAAGAAGACGTACTGGGAAAAACGTCATTACCCGAAAACCCACTGGAACAGTGGAACAGACCAAAAGAGAAATCACTTGAATTGGAAAAAATTCTGTAACTCCCCATAAACCAATAAAGCTTCAAGTTTGATTTTTTTTAATCTTTTAATACAATGTTATCAATAAGGTAATCTTTTGTAATCATTCTCAAAGTACTACTATTTTATGAATTAATTGTTGTCGATTTTGTATATTAAAGGCTAAAAAATTTACTTTTTATGGATGATTAGTTTAGAACGAATGTTGGGTAGAGTCTAATAATCGAGAACCCTATGTTTTTGTTTAACTAAAGCTAGTTAATTTAACTTTACAGATTTTTTTAAACACAAAAAACCATTAATGTGATTAAACAAGTTAGTTTTATTTGATGATGACACAATTAAGCTATCTTATTCACATTCCAACAAGGGAGGATACTTTACTTGCAATACCCTAATTCAAATCGGCATTGCAACCAAAGGCTCGACTCAGTCTTCTTAAAAAATTTAAATTTTTATATAATTTAAATATTTATTTTAATATGTTTTATAAATTTATAAATCGGCTCCATACGCCAAAACGTGTCCATCGCTAGTTTTATAATTATATTTCAATGAGGGTAATATCTTAGTAAAAATTATTCGTTTTCAATTGGATAGCAGAGCATTGCAGTATCCAGACAAGTAGTTTCACCATTCTTTAGCTAAAAGAAGATTGCCTATGCTAAACTGATCCAATCAGGCCACCATTACGAACTGAGCTTGAACTGAAATTAGTCTGAACGAAGTAACAAATCGGTCCCGATCTTGAAGAAGGCATAAACATTAGCCTCGGCAAATTTAAGCTGGTACCTGTTAAGATTTTGCTGACCCCAGTCACTAAATACAACTAAGAAGCGTATTAGCCAAAACGCCCACCCCACAGGCGGCTAAGTTAGGATTTCGAAATAGGCTGGCGGCCCACTGTCCCAACTCAACTTCGTTCTTGCATCCAAGTCCATACACTTCCTCTAACTGGGCAACGGTTTCTTTGATCCCAATGCCCACAAATGTAAAATTTGGTAGTCGAAGAAAATTGAGGAGAGAATTGGGTATGAAATCCAGATAAGGAAGCTGAATTATAAGACAAGTACAGCCATCACAGAGTTGCAGAATTGCCACTCGGCTTTTCATTTTTGAATTTTCTGTCCCTGCCCGTATATCTTCAGCTTCATGTGATTCTTGAACAAATGTCCTTTCAATGTCTAAACCGATCATTTTCCAAGAATTGTACCTGTTAGACAGGAAGTTTCTCCACATCCGATTCACAACTAGTGACAATGGGAACAGGCGTATATATATTCTCCCGTGCATGAATGAACATATATTACAGTATGGAAAGTGGAACGTCCCGGCCTTTGAATATGGACAGGTGAAAATAACAATGGGTCTTTTGGAATTTCTAAAAACTGATGTCGCATTTAACACTATAATACCTGGGGGTTTTTTTTTTGGCACCATTCGTGAATCATGAATTATCTCAAAAGTGGAGCTTCGCAACATTGGAATATGGACTGGTGACAATGACCTTGGGAGGCCTTTTGGATTTCCGGAAAACTGTTGACATTCAACACAGAAATCATTAAGGATAAGGTTCGTTTGCGTATATCACTTGAACTAAAATCCCAAGATTGCATTTGAAATACTCCAAGCCCGATAGAAACATCTTATGCAGCAAGATACTTTACATAATTTGGGCAATATCAAAAACGAAGGAATTGAGCAAGAAAGGAAATGAAGAGAATCTTAAAGGCATATGAATTAGCCCTTTATACAAAAGCAGGATCCATAAGTATCTGTTTCAATTAAATCATCTTCAAAATTCAAACTTGTTTATATCTTTTCATTTTGCCCTTTGTATTCTTTAACTTACGTAAACACGATTTACATTTTGAAATTGAATGTAAGATCAACATACCCTATTTTAACTGCTATCAGACTAAGATTCCATCCCCATCTTTTAGCTTCTTACAACATAGGAATTTCCTAGAGGCTTTTTACTATTAAGCCACACATTAGGCAACTTCATGTTTCCACCAACGAATCAATTATAGCCGAAGGACGACTCTATAACTTCGATAGCCTAAAGGCCTAGGTTAATTAAATCTGGACATCTTATCACGTTCCTAGTCATGGGCTGGTGGCGATAGGCCCTTGGAATCACGGATTGAATTATATTGACAAAGAACAGCCTCGAGGCTATTATTTACGCTAAACAGGAAAAAAAAAGGCAGGAGGTAGTTGATTTTCCCTTGTGCATTGATTACCATATCTTTCACAATAATCAACTTGCCACTGTCGACAATATTATTCTTTAACAGTCACAAGTATTCATATAGCCGGTATACATATAATACACCCATAGTACGATTCAATGAACCGAATCTTTGAGATGTAGACGCAAGAAAAGGATGCGAGTTATTATGCAAGCCGAACAATCAATGAGGCCTAGTCAAGTTATTGTTCCATCTGCCCCCTCACTAAATTCTAACAATTTTTGCATGTCTCAATCCTCATTAGTGCTATACGAAAATTTTGGATTTCGTTGATTCCCGGACAATTAGAAAATAGAAAGCTTTCGAGCTTCCACATTAATTGGTTTCCAGCAAGTCCATAAACCCTAAAGAGCGGATCTTCTCGTCTTCACTGCTACACAAATCAAATATACTTTGTAATGGGAAATTATTCACTGTGTAGTCAGAATACGATGATTTTCCCAGTACACCATCGATCTTTATACCCTCTTTTCTCTCCATCTATCAATCAAAAACTCCAGTTTTTGTTCATCCAAAAAAAAACTTGCACTCACCGGAGGAACAAAGAGAGAGCTTTTGTTTAGCGTGAGAAAGAAAGAAATATAAGAGAATTTCAGAACAATTGAGATTTTTGGCTAGGAAAAGAGAGAGAAAGAGAGAATTAATAAAGGACCGACGGGCAACTATAGGTCAAATACTTGTACGGAAGTTGAACAGTACCGGTTGTCATTCTTCATGCGTAGATCTTTGATCAGCTTTATCTGGTTCGTAGCGTGAACGGAGTTCCCCTCCATGTGATATTCTTACGGCGTAAGAATATAGTCCTTCAGGCTTTGGTTTGGCTGTATAAATAATTAAAACTAAATCAAG